GGAAGTATTTTGCATTCAGAAACCATTTGAGTATCAAATTCCGTTTTGTCAAGTGATTAGTTAGTTGAGTTTGGTAGAGAATAATTTAAAAACACAAATTTGGAAACGGCTGTGGTGCTTCTGCATTTGAGGAGAGCAGTTGCTGCTTTCAAATCGAAGCCCTCTTTCAGTGACTGCGCATCACAACGTGGATCATTGTGTTCCTGTCTGTGCAGCTGTTACAGGCCTGCAGCTGTGGGCACCATGTGTTCCTCCCTGGTCTGCTGGAAGAAATAGGGGAATGGGTGGATGGATACCTTGCCTGCCTATCAGTGCATACGTCCCTTTATGTACATATGTTTGTAAAGCTCTTTAGCCCCCTTCAAGATGAAAGGCTCTGTATAAATAGAAGCTTTCGATTTTAGTGCATGTTTGTAATACATGTGGTACAGTCCTAAATATGTATTTAGCTGATAGGCACTGTTCTTGTCTGGTGTACAAATATTGACTTTAAAGCATAAATATGTATTTAACCATCAGACCAGAAAAACACTGAAGCAGTTACTTCTCAGGTAGAGATATTAATATTGTATAAACCTATATATACACATATGTTTACATTCTACCACATCACGATAGAACATTTCCTTTTTTAAAAAGTGGATGATAGTCCCAGCAAACCAAGACAATTCCTGATATTTTTCTCCCGTTGAGGCGAGTCTTGGTTTTTAATTTTCATGTTTATATCTGTCATTATAAAATATGATCTGTGTTGTAGTATGGCTAAAATTTAGAGTCAGTTCTTATAAAATACGAAACTCCATTAGTTTGGTGAGATTTTTTTCCTCTTAAAATTTTTTTTAAATGATGGAAATGTTTAAACGTATACTAGAGATAATAATATAAATTCCCATGTACCTGTCACCCAGTGGAGGTACTTGGTATCCTTTTTCAACTACTTTTTTGTTTTATAAAATGTTTAAGTTATCACTGCAATGCAAACATATTAAAGAAAATTTGGATAATGGGAAAAAACACACACAATCCCATCATCCTAAAATAACTATCATCTCATTTTGCTATGTCCTTTATTTCTGTTTCCCACCCCCACCCCCACCCCCAAAAGTTAGTGTTGTAATATTTACTGTGCATTTACTATGTGCCAGGTACTGTTCTGAGGTTTACCGTGTGTTTAATCCTCACAAACTTACAGAGTAGGTTATTATTCCCCCGTTTTACTGATAAGGAAACTGAGATGCTTAGAAGGTAGTAACTTGCCTAAGGTTATGTGGAAAGAAAAGTGACTGACTCTCTATTCTGGCAGAGTCGGATTCTATTAGATTTATGGTCTCCAAATCCGGCTTCTGAGACTGTGCCCTTTACCATCACACTATTTTGTTATTGCAGTATACATACAATTTTGTTATACCGCTTCCTCACATTTAGTATTACATCATGGGTATTTTTAAATGCTATTTATAGTCTTCATATTCATTATTTTATAAGGCAGTCCAGATCAATAGCTATGACCTCACTAGCCAATTTATTTCCCTTCAAAAAAGTTTTCACGATGACATTTATTATTTTAACTTTTTATCTTAAAATATTTTAATTTGTAAAAAAAGTTGCAAAGATAGTACAGAGAATGCCCATATACCCTTCAGCCAGCATCTCCTGATGTTTACATCTTATATAACCATGGTATAATTATAAAAACTAAGAAAGTAACATTGGTACAATACTATTAAATAAACTACAAGCCTTGTTTTGGATTTCACTGGGTTTTTCTAGTAATGTCCTTTTTCTGTTCCAGGATCCAGTCCAGGAAACCATATTTTGCATTTAGTTTTCAATGACATGTATTTGTGTTATAGTTGATATTTATCTTTCCATAGTGTTTCAGCTAATTCATAACAGCTATAAGGAATGGTTAATTTTTCTGTGCCTTAGTTTTCTCATGGCAATAACAGCTGCTTTTGAGTTAATAATAGCTATTATTTGAGGATTTTTATAAGACAGTCTCTGTGCTAATCTAATGTGGTGTTCCTCGCAACAATCCCTCCAGAAAGATACTGTTATCCCCATTTTAAAATTGGAAAAATTCAGACTAGACCAAGTTAAGTGACTGGTCCAAGGTTTTACAGCTAGTATAAAGCTGAGATTTGAACCAATACAGGCTGACACACCCAACTTAAACCTTTAACTACCATCATATTGGTCAACATTTAGTATAGTATAGCATGTAATAGATGTTCAGTTAATAGTAGCTACTAGTATTCTTGATATTTAAAAAAATAAATAGTTGATTAATGTTTAGAACTGTTGTTCTGTGATCCCTAGAGATATGGACAATGTTCTAAGCCCTTGGTGTTGACTGTTTTCCAAGTATCATTTTAAAAATGAAATGACTGTGGAATGAACAAATATTTATTACTCCCATATTATGTGTAGAGACCCTGCTAGGCACTGGAGGATATGATATAATGGTTCAAACTGGCAAGCTCAAAGCAGTCCTAGGCAGTATATGATTAATTATCAAATAAATTCTCTACATGAAGGTCTTAGTAGGAGATCAGAGAAGAAAGGGGTCACTTTAGGCTAGGGGAAGCTTTACTAAGGAAATGGAATTTGAATGAACCTTTTTGAATGGGTAGATTTAGATAGGTTGAGAGGAGAGAAAGGAACAAAACTTTGTATGATGCTAATTCTAACAGTTTGTACATCAAACCTATAGGTATTATTAATTTTGTATATGGGGACACTGAGGCACAATGAAGTAATTTTCACAAGTCACACAGTTAATAAGTGATAAGGCCTAGGTGTGAATGCCAGTTTGTTTGACTTCAAAGCCAATGCTACCATTATACAACCTGTCATTTGATTAGCAATAATATCTAAATTTTAATGTAAAATGAGCAATAGATGCTTTCTTAGATGTTTATCTCTTCCATTAAGGAATCTCACTATGCTAAGACTGGGCTAACACTCTCCATTCTGTAAGGGTACAATTTTAAGGGAGAGGGGGACAGTCGATGAGGAATTAACTTTGGAAAGAGCATTGATAAAGAGTAGTGTGTTCTTGGTGCTGCTGGGTTGACACCTAATTAGAAGTCAATATTGCAGCATAATGACCTGGCCAGTTGCTGAACTGACTGCCTGAGTGACACAGAGTCCCCAGGTAATAACAAAAGATAAGAGTATTATTTGCCCGCCCAGTGCTACCTAGACACAATGTTTGCATTAGCATGCAAATGCTGAAGTAAATTCTTCAGGGCTTACATCTAAGCTGCTTCTGGCCTAGGTGGCTAAGGTTACTATATCACAAAATTTGGTGTAAAATGGGGTCTTTCTAACTACAAATGCATTTAGAGGAAATAGCTTTTCCTTCCTGAGTAACAAAAGAGATGTTGGGTTAGAGGGCCACGTGAGAAGGCAGGTAAAATATTTCTCCCCACACAGGCATTCTATTAACCAGCTTCTTAAAACCATGACCAAAATTACCCTGATATTTGGAGTTTCTCTGTACTATTTTTTTGGATTATCTGTTTCTCCTTCCTTTCTGTCCTTAATGAGCAGATAGACTAATATCTGATCTCAGAAGGTGATTGGATTTTTTTCTGTGTGTTATATCCATTTTTTGATTTGTATTTTGCCAATGGTATAATACTGTAAATAGCTTATATTCATCTGTAGTGCTTCATATATATATTTCTTAGTGCCGAGAATCACAAATAGCTGTGTGGGAAGCTTCAACCAGCCTGATTACGGTAGATGTGCAATTGGATTGAGGATTGTGTACTCAGAGCTTATGATCACTGGCCCGGTTGAGTCTGGGTGATGCATGTGGCTTTCCAGGGATGCTGCTATTTACATCTGTTAATGGTCCTTCTTGATGGCCGGCTCCCCAATGAGGTGAAATGCAGCAGCCTGGGGATGAGGGACCATGGCTGCAGATGTGGCTGGGCTCCATTAGGCACGACCAGGAATGCTCATCTGGTGGGCTTTTTGTTTGGGGGCGAGTACTGGGGGTGGGAAGGGAAAGAAGATAGAAAGAAATGGGAGGGGGGATGGAAAACATTTATCCAGGTATAGGGAAACAGACAGGCAGACATGAAAAACTGCAGCTGTAACTGGAATGTGAGTGAACAGAAAAGAAACGGAACTAGCGAATAAACAAGTAGTAGGATTGACTAGTTCTCATATAGAGGGAGATTAAAAGAGGAGAGGGCTGTGAGGATTTGGGAAGAGACATGTCACCCCTGCCTTTTAAGTCAATATCATTTATTTGTGTGGCTGGTCAGATGCTGCTGAACAGAGAGAGCAGAGATTTACATAGATCATAGTGCAGCAAGAGATTAGTTCCTTGCATCCTTTGGTTTTCTGGTTCTGGGAGAAAGTGACAAGAGGTGCTCACAAGAATGCGATGCTGAGCTATATTAAATTCTTGCAGAAATGGAACATACCTGAAGCAAGCCAGTGAAGAATGTTGCTGTTATTCCTATCAAATGCTAGAGGACAGTAAAAGGATGCAGAATCACAAAAGTTATGCAGTCCATGAGAGGTGATCCTTTTCCTGTCCTTCCATATGTTGGAGATTTCTAGGAAAGAATCTCCAAAAAAAAAAAAAAAAGAAGAAGAAGAAAGAAAAATGAACTAGTGTCTTAGTAGATAGCGTAGTAAGTTCAGGAGTTCTGGATTTAATTCCCAGCGCCATGGCATTCTTCCACAGGGATTCTGAGTACATTTTGGGTTTGGTTTCTTTTTTGTTTTGTTTTTTACTTCTTTGAGCAGGCCCAAAGATGGAATTGAGATAACTGAAGTACATAGGAAACCAGCTGTTTTCAACATGATCTAAAGAAATATGCTAGAATATGTGTTCTAGTTTGCCACAGGGAGCTTGGCTCTTTAGCAGTGTGTATGCACATCTACATGGTGGCTGTGTCTGATACTTTCAAGGGACCCGCAAAGAAAATCTGCATGTAAGAAGCTCGTATTTATTTGTTTGTTTTTTGCTTTTGCAGATTGGCATGGTGGCTTGGAAAATGACCCTTAAAAGTCCTGAGTATCCAGAAGGCCGAGATATCATTGTTATTGGCAATGACATCACATACCGAATTGGGTCCTTTGGGCCCCAGGAGGATTTGCTGTTTCTCAGAGCTTCTGAGCTTGCCAGGGCAGAGGGTATCCCACGCATCTATGTAGCAGCCAACAGCGGAGCAAGAATTGGATTGGCAGAAGAAATTCGTCACATGTTTCATGTGGCCTGGGTAGATCCTGAGGATCCTTACAAGGTACAAACTAAGGAAAAATAATACTTCAAGACACTATATGGTTATGCATATGTGTGTGTACATGTGTAGAGAGGTGGGGGAGAGGCAGAGGTTTAAATTTGAAAGCCAGTATTGATGGTGAACCATGTTGGAAACAGATTGTCTCTCAATACGTTCACCTGGTTTTTCCTCCATCTCTGAAGATATATTGCTGATTTTTTGGTTGAACACTATGTGAAATAGTAGGTATGTATTTAGCATGTGACATGCTAAACAAAAAATGTCTGTCTTTAAACTAGTCCACTGTGGCTTCTGGGACTTATGGTCAGTCATCAGCAACATCCCTTATATCCTCAGGTTCTTCTCTGATTATTCTCCAGTCCGTGTTCTACTTGAAACCTGCCTGTCCTTTAAATACACTGCTTCCTTTGTAGCCCTCTTAGGAACTGAGTGATTTCTCTGTTTTTGTATTCTCAAGCCTGGAAGGGGAACAGCATCTTCCTAGTGCCTCATTGCTATTTACAGACCCTTTTCCCTCCTTTCTCTCTGAAAACCTCTGTCTTTGTCATCAAACTGTGCCATATTGCCGCTGCTCATTATTATAGTGTTCCCCAACCTTAGTCACTCCCTCTCAACCTTTGCCTCTTTTAGTTGCTGGGACATCCTAGCCTCTCATTCCCATAATCTCAATTTCAAGCTTCCCTTTCTTTGCCACTCCTCCATCCTATCTTTGCAGCTCACTTTCTTTAGTACCCAAGTCCAACAATCCTTTGAACCCACCAGGACCTACAACTATTAATCCTACTACCTTTCATCTGTTACTCACTTCTTCCTTACATTCTCATTTTATTTCTATCCAGCTTAAATTCTAAGGTCAATCATAGGTTAATTATTATAATCACATTATAGGTACCACCTTTCCTACACCCTCAACTTTTTTGCTTCTGTCTTCATTCTGCTTACCCTGTGCCTTTACAACCCTTGTTTAAATCCAGCTCTCTCCACCTATTCCCATACCTGAACCCACTTAGCTGAACATTGATAGAGAAAAATACAAAGTGCTATTGACTGGTCTTTACATTCAAGTTTACCAACCTTTTCAATGCTAGTCTTGCATCTTCTTCTCTCTCCTCAAACCTCTAACACCTTCTTCTCCCATCCTCACTCTTAGCTGATGACCTTGCTGTCCAATTTACTGAAAAAAGAAGCAATTTGAAGACAGCTTCCACAAGCTCCCACATAATCTGCATCTGTGCCCTTACTCTCCATTGTCTCTCTGAACTTTGGGAGAATGGTCCCTGCCTCCTCTTGTTCACTTGATCCTTTCTCTTCTTGCCAACTTAAAGATGTAGGTCAACACTTCTCCTCCCAACCCCTTCTCCGCCCACCCCACCCCCCTCATTTTCCCCCTCTTTACTGGGTCTACCCCTTTAGCATACAAATACTTACCTTGAACCTGCTAGGCACACTCATGCCTCAGCACTTTTGCACTTGTGGTTCCTTCTGCTTAAAATGTTTCCCCTCCCTCCCCCAATATCCTCATGTCTCATTTCTTCAGTTCTTCAGGTCTTTGCTCAACTGACACTTTCAATGAAGCCTACTTTGGTGATTTTCTGTTTTATTTTTTTCTTAAACACCATTCCCATTAACAGTCTATGTTTTACTTATTTAGGTTGTACGTGTTCTCTCTTACTAGAAGATAATTTCCATAAGGCCAGAAATTTTTATCTGTTTTGTTCGTTCCCGTTTTTCCAGTGCCTATCTTGCACATAATAGGCACTCAGTAAATATATGCTGACTGACATATTAATGACACTCCGTGCTACAAAGTGTTCTCGTCATAAGTCATGCAAAATCAATGGCAGATTCATGTCTCTTCCATATTATGCTCACTGTGTCTGCCTAAATGTAGCTTCTAATTCATTGAGTTAAATGGTGGGCATAATTTCTCAGAGTATTTAAAATGTTTTTCTCTGTTTACTTTTTTTTTGGCTGAGTGACTAATTCACTTAAACACTCTATCATATAACTCTACTTTATATGTGAGTATATATTTGTATGTATAAAAGTAAATCAATTATGAAATGTTAGTATAATTTTTAAAATGTAAATTGGCATTAGGAGTTGTTTATTTAAAAAAGAAAAAGGCTTGAGTTCCGTAGTTACTGATTATTAGCACTGCATAGACTTCTGATTTTAATATTGAATATCCAATATTGTGATTCTTTCAATTATCCCATACCCATTTATATTTTTATGATATTATGGATTTGAGAAAGTGAAACATAGTAATTCACATAATTCTTTAATTTTGTGTTTATGTCTTTAATAGAGGTGTCACTAGAGATCAGAAAGTGACCTTTTAACCCTAGTGAAAATGAAATAAATGGAATACACTTGGCATTGTAGCTATAAGACATCTTGTTTCAAGGACAGACAGTCAGTGACTGGAGAAATAGGCACTTCCATCTTTCAAAGGAGAACTGTCTATGCTAGTAATCTATTAGACAGTAACTCTAAGAAGTGATGTGGCAATTTAAAGCTAGCTTTGGAACAAGCTGCATTATGCATGCTTTGCTGTGTCTTCTGGTTATGTGACAATGGCAGATAATGAGTTAACTATTTGTGCTTCACAGGGATACAAATATTTATATCTGACCCCTCAAGATTATAAGAGAGTCAGTGCTCTCAACTCTGTCCATTGTGAACATGTGGAGGATGAAGGAGAATCCAGGTAGGTATATATGTATCAGAATAATTTGGCCCTGGGTTAAAGGAAGGAGAACATGATTATTTTTTCCTTACTGTCCTGCTATTCATGACCTTGAAGAGCAATGAAGATTGCTTGTTACATATTTAGAGGTTTTAGGTTTGTATTTGAGGTCTACCACTAATTAGCTGAAAAACCTTAATTATATTTATAATATTTATTCATTTTATAAAAGAACATGTAAACAATTATGAATAAAAAATAAAAATCAGCTACAATCCTACCTAGAGACACAATATTTTTAAATGTATTTTTTAATTACAGTTTACATTCAAAATTATTTTTTATTAATTTCAGGCATACAGCATAGTAGTTAAAAAATCATATATCTTACGAAGTGGTCTCCCACTGATATTTTAAGTACCCACCTTGTATTGTACGTAGTTATTACAATATTATTATTATTTTTTTATAAACATTTAATCACCTTTATTTATTTATTTTTTGTTTGTTTGTTTTTGTTAATCCTCACCCGAGGATATTTTTCCATTGATTTTTAGAGAGAATGGAAGAGAGAGGAAAAGACAGAGAGAAACACTGATGTGAGAGAAACACATCAATTGGTTGCCTCTTGCAGGAGCCCTGACTAGGGCCCAGGCCAGGAGGAGCCTGCAACCAAGGTACATGCTCTTGACTAGAATCGAACCCAGGACTCTTTGGTCCACAGGCTGATGCTCTATCCACTGAGCCAAACCGGCCAGGGCTATTACAATATTATTGACTATGTTCCTTATGCTGTACTTTTTTTACATCCTCGTGACTGTTTTGTGACTACCAGTTTGTAGTTCTTAATCCCTACACCTTTTTCACCCAGCTCTCCAACCCCTCTCTCCTCTGGCAATCATCAGTCTACTCTCTATCAACGAGTCTGTTTCTATTTTGTTTGTTCTTTTATTTTGCCGAGAGACACAATTATTAAAGTGCAGTATATTCTTGCTGTCTTTTCTATATATGTATTTTTCCCCTAATAATTGGGCTGTAATAGGAAAACTTTTGTTAATTTGTTCTTTTCACTACAAATTATTTTGGGAAAATTTTTGTATATTAAAAAAATATTTGAGAATATGATATTTTATGGTTTCATAGTATTTCATTGTAATGAATATAATATAAATGAACATTCAGACTATTCCAAACTTTAACTGTTAATCTCCCTGGGCTGAGCATTCTGTTATATAAACTTTTAGGAATATCTCTATTTCCTTTGGGTTAATTTCTGAAAGTGAATTACTGGTTTAAAAATATATCCATTTTAAATATTTTTTGATGATTTCAGATTGCACTCCCACCGGTAGGTTATAATACTATTTGTTTCTCCTCTTTAATTTTTCTCCACCCTTGCCAACATCAATTATTGTTAATTAATAAAATAGCATATAAATAATTTGTCATTTTAACTAGTATTTTTTTTATTACCAATGAAGTTGGTTAAAGCAAGTTGTTTTTCTTTTCTGAGCTTTAGTTTCCTCATCTGTAAGGTGAAGGCCAAGTAAACTAATATATGTAAAGCCCTTAGCACAGCACTGAGCACATACTAAACCAGGGGTCCTCAAACTACGGCCCGCGGGCCACATGCAAATACAAATATTGTATTTGTTCCTGTTTTGTTTTTTTACTTCAAAATAAGATATGTGCAGTGTGCATAGGAATTTGTTCATAGTTTTTTTTTAAACTATAGTCCGGCCCTCCAACGGTTTGAGGGACAGTGAACTGGCCCCCTGTTTAAAAAGTTTGAGGACCCCTGTACTAAACAGTTAAAAACCCTGACTGTTGCTGTTACTGTCTTTAATAGTGGAGGTGGTGTTACCTATCTCACTGGATTGTTGTGAGGATCAAAAATGATATATATGAATGTGTTTTGTTAATTGTATTGCACTATGTAAAGATTTTTATAACACTAGAGGTCTGGTGCATGCACGGGTGGGGTCCCTCTGGGTGGCCTGCAGGGATCGGGCCAAAACCCACAGTCCAACGCCACCTGCAGCTCCTATCTGCCACTCCCGCTCATCCCGGCCCCACTGTGCCTGCCACGGGCTTGTGCCCAATCAGTCCCGATCGGGAGAGGCTCGCGCTGCCACAGCAGTGCTTGCCAGCCATGAGCCCTGTGTCTGGCACCCTCCCAAGGGTAGTGGCCTGTGGGATTGGGCTGAAACTGGCTCTTCGACATCCCCCAAGGGGTCCCAGGTTGCAAGAGGGTGCAGGCCAGGCTGAGGGACTCCACCAGTGCACGGGCCAGGGAGGGACTGCGGGAGTGCTCCAGGGCATGTCTCGCCCATCTCGCTCAGTCCCGATTGGCCAGACCCCAGCAGCAAGCTAACCTACCGGTTGGAGCATCTGCCCCCTGGTGGTCAGTGCACATTATAATGACTGGTCGACCAGTTGACTGTCCCCTGGTTATCAGTGCACGTCATAGCAAGCGGTTGAGCAGCCTTAGCATATAATTAGCATATTATGCTTTGATTGGTTGTTAGGTTCTGCCATTTGGTCTATTTGCATTACACTTTTATTACATAGGACTAGAGGTCCGGTGCACAAAATTCATGCACTAGGGAGAGAGGGCGGTCCCTTAGCTCACCTATGCCCTCTCACAGTCTGGGACCCCTCTGGATGTCCAACTGCCATGGGGAGTGGGCCTAAGTCAGCAGTCAATCATCCCCTGTGCAGTCCGGGACCCCTCACTCCTTACTGCCTGCCTGCTCACTGCTCCTTACCGCTCGGCTTGCTGCTCCTTAGCACTGCTGCAGAGGTGGGAGAGGCTCCTGCCACCGCTGCTGTGCTGCCAGCCATGAGCCTGGCTTCTGGCTGAGCGTCGCTCCCTCTGTGGGAGCGCACTGACCACCAGGGGGCAGCTCCTGCATTGAGCATCTGCCCCCTGGTGGTCAGTGCGCATCATAGCGACTGGTCGTTCTGGTCATTCCGCCATAACAGTCCCTTAGGCTTTTATTATATAGATTAAAATTTGGTACTACTTTAAAGAATGGTAGCCTCAATGATAGAAAACTCAGATCATAGAGCAGAATGTGGGAAATTTTCACTCTTTTTTATGTAATACAATGGAAGAAGAGGGCACTTAACAGATCATGAACACCTGTGAAGTAATGTGCAGTCCTTAGAAGGGAAAAGATCTGCTTTGCAAGGAAAGCTGACTGGGTCCTTTAGTGTTTGTGACTGTATGGCTTGTGAGCCTTATAAAAAGAACACATACTCTCCCTCTTCCCTCTGCCAAATTAATGTGGCTCATTAACTCCTTAAAGAAGATAAGCTTTACCTGTAATGTAACTCTAGAAGCTAGAGTCTAGATACAGAGCCAAAGTAAGAATTGGAGAATTTTTGGGAGAAGCTAAAAATAGAAAGGCAAGGGTGACTGGAAAGCAGAGATGCAAAGTCACAAACCAATAGCAAAGGCAAAGAAAAGGAATTGATGGAGGGCTCGAAGTAAAGAAGGGAGCAGAGAAATATGGGGGCAAAAAAAAAAAGTAGTTTAAGAGCCACTATGGGATACTTATTTATTATTTCAATTTATAAAACTATGCCCAGTGCCAAGCCTTCTGGGTACACATGGAACAATAAATAATATATGCCCATCTCTACTTCTAACTTTGTATTTTTCCTTTCTTTTATTAGTTGCATTCCCCATCTCCCATTTCCCATTATCAGTTATCACTCCTAATCCCCTGCCAAGAAGACAGATGAGTGGTTCCCTCTGGATCCACAGGATGCTTTCTGGACAAGTTGGCCAGCATTTCACTTCTACACACATTCCACCTGCCCCTCCAGAGGCCTGTAGCCAGGAACCTTTGTGCATACACTTGATATTTACAGAGGAGTAGGGATAGGAGTGCATTGTCTTGACTTTCCCCTTCATCCCTGTCTTAGAAAGAGAGAGAATTTTTGACTTTAGAAATTGGACTTATCATTCTCACTACACCTCTGGATTTTCTTGTTCCTATGTAACATTTATCAAAAATTGATGATTTAATGGCTATTGCTTATTGTAGAAATGTGCATTGATTCTGCCTTTAAGAAATCTTTTCTAGAAATTTGTTCTAAAATCTGAGTGCCATCTATGTGGCAAACCCTCCCCTTGTTGCTTTAATTTAACTCGTGTCAACTCTTAGAGGTAGATACTGTTATCCCATTCCCCATTTTATAGAAATTACTGTTATCACCAAAGTCACATTGATGTGTGTGTCAGAGCAGGGATTTAAATCTATCTACTTAGTAATACTTTAAGCAATAAAACAATTAAAAAAATAAATCTATCTACTTAATTCTAGATGTTGCTCTTTATTTTATACCATACTAGAGGCCTGGTGCACAAAATTCATGCACAGGTGTGGTCCCTAGGCCTGGCCGGCAATCGAAGCGTGAGCAGCTGGTGTGGAAAGGCAGGTCCCAGCTGACCTCTGGGCCCTGGGACCCCTGGGTCCCTGTGCGCCCCCCTCCGCCTGAGTCATCAGCCTCTGCCCAGCTCCCTCAGTGACTGGGAGCTGGGCGGTGGCCCCATTCCCGCCGCTGCCGCTCGTCACCATCTGCAGGGCAATCGGTGGGGTGATCGGGCCCCACTTGCACCCACCTTGGCCTGGTGCCGCCTGCTCACCTGGTCCACTATCTTGCCACGGTCCCGCTCTCGTTGGGGCCCATTGGGGCTGGCAGCACCTCCACTGCTGCCCGCTGCCAGGGCCCCATTGCTGATTCCTGCTGTGTTCCACGCCACCCCCTGGTGGTCAGCGCACGTCATAGCAAGCGAATGAACTCCTGATCGAAGGGACAATTTGCATATTAGGCTTTTATTGTATAGGATTGCATCTAGACAAAAGAGGAACCAAGCTACGAAGGAAAGATATATGAATAAAGATTATAGCTTATATATAAGCTTCCAGAATGCTTTCTGTATGCTTTTAGTAGCCTGTTAATGGTGATTATTCTTTTAAAAGATTGTTGCTATTGTGTTAAACCGTCATAATTTGGCATGTCTGTATCCAATAGGTACAAGATAACTGATATTATTGGGAAGGAAGAGGGACTTGGAGCAGAGAACCTTCGAGGTTCTGGAATGATTGCTGGAGAAACCTCATTGGCCTATGATGAGATCATCACCATTAGCCTGGTAAATCTTTTTTATTTTTTATTTTTTATTTTATTTATTTATTTATTTTTTTTTTTTTTTATTTTTCGCTAAAAGTATTACAAAGGGTATTACATAAGTGTCCTTTTTTCCCCCCCGCCCTTGACAAGCCCCTGCCCTCCCTTACCCCCCAGTGTCTTATGTCCATTATAGCCTGGTAAATCTTGCCTGAATGTGAAATTTTTGAAGAGCTGACTGTGTAGCTGGGATTTCTTTTTGCCCCATCCCTGCTGTTCAGTCCAAAATGAGAGCATTTCTTCAAGTTTTTATATCTACAATTTGATTTTAATTGTACATAATCATGGGAAGATAGGATAGTGTAAACAATTGAATTTCTCAGATAAACCTGATATCTACTTTTAGCCTTTAGTTTAATTTATTTCTCTAAATATTCTATCAGAGTTTTAACAGCTTAAATTTCTTCTCCTCTTACTACTTTCTTTGTTCATACCTCTAATATCAATGCCAAGCATTTGTGAAATGGGCAAAAATATGAGACATAAAGGGGCTAATATTTGAATCATTGTATGAGTTCTGTATCTTCTTTTCCTTGACCAGGAAATTTCTATTTTTAATATTGTTATTAACACATTAAGCGCCCAGCTTGTTTTGTCTTCCAGACAGAAAGTATAGTGTCAGTCACCCATGACTGACTGGGCGCTTGACGTGTTAAACTTTATAAAAGCAGTATTTTTTTTTCCTGTTAATGTGAGTTTTACATATCTGTGCCTTAGTTTTTACAACTTAGGAGGGGATATAAATATGTGACTTGTAGATTTTTATTTTTTTTTAAGGTTACATGCCGGGCCATTGGAATTGGGGCTTACCTTGTCCGGCTGGGACAGAGAACCATCCAGGTTGAAAATTCTCACTTAATTCTGACAGGAGCTGGGGCCCTCAACAAAGTAAGTTTCTAGAGGTTGGGAGAAGTATGTGAAGCTGTCTGAAGGTTACTGCAAATTCTTGATTCAGGATCCTGATTGGGAGGATGCCATGCAAGCCATTCCTTCCTCAGTCTGTCTTTTCACCTTTCCTTCCATCTTCCCTAACCATTGCCTTGCTTGCCTGTTCATTCATTCATTCAACAAATATTTTGAGTATCTACTATGTGCTCAGCACTGTTTCAAGCCCTGTGGATATGTTAATGAACAAACTGTATAAAACTCCTGCTCCAAAGAGTTTACATTCTAGTGTTTTTCTAGAAAGAGAATTAATTGAATGCTTCAATTCTGCCCTCCCTCCCTTTTTCTCATCTATGAGTAAGGGAAATGATATCTATGTCCAGACATAGAGCTGTTCTCTGAAACTTCCTCTGAATGTGTTGAGGATATCAAGTTTTAATGTGTTGAGAAATCTGTGAATGTACCTCTCAAAAAGGGCATGTAACATGGTTCCTTGTACATAGACGAAGTACTTGGACAATATTGAATGGAAAGATGGGTGGATGGATGGAAAGATTGCTGGGAAAGAGTGTAACATAGAGGCTTATCTTCCCTTCAAAAGAAAAGTTTGTGCCTTTTCAGTCTAAGCTCATTGGGGCTTTTCCCAAGGGGGATATAAAAAGGTATGGTGAGGTCACTTCTTGTAAGAGTGAAAACTACTACCTAAGAATACCTGAATATACAAAGGACAATGTAATTTGACTTCTTTGCAGGCATAGGAAAATTATTTTCTCTCCAGAGCCTAGGAATATGTAATAGTCTGGGACTGGCTGGCTGACCTTATACAATGCATATAACCTCTCAGCTCCTCAACTTCTTTATCTGTCAAAGGAGGATAATTTACATTTTTAAATAATACTGTGGAGATCAAATGAGAAAACATAAGTACCTAGTACTTGGCATAAAGTGCTGGCCCTCATTACAATTTCAGTTCCCTTTTCCTCTCTCTTACGTAGTTTGGTGGTTGAGCTTGTGGAGTTACACACATGCTAAATTGTATTGGATAATGTATTTACCAGACATGCACTAACTTTTTATCAAGCCTTGACCTTCAGGTAGAAGAGTAGGAATTAAGTGTCTTATCCTATCACTCCCATTTAGAAAATGTTGATAGTTCCATTGGTCCAATTAGCTTTTGTTGATGTCAGAAATGAGGAGAATGGTTTGATGTGATCAGCTTGTTCTTTGCATTCATGTGTCCTTCTCTGGGCTTGCCTTTCTCTCCAAGGAAAGGCAAAGATTGTGAACTGCCAATAGTGAAGGAAATAATTCCAGTGGGAGAAACTGCTAAATGTTCTACATTTTTAAGTTGCTCTTTTGCATATTTTCTTAGGATACAATACTGACGAATGTTGAAGGGAGTTGTTGATTACATTATTTGTGAGACTAGAATTTAAAGAAGACACCTGTATTTCCATAATGTTTCCGTGCCTCAACAAAGAGCTAATTTCTGAAATGTATCTTAATTTCAGTGAGTTTGTTATTTTCTCCCTGATACTATGTTTACACAAAGAATATTACAAAAAGCAAAAGTTTTGTTGGGGTGTTGTTGCTTGTTTTTTGTTTTTATGGCTAAAAACTGGCATGAGTGCCTTTAAGAAAGCTTTAAGGATTTTTTTCTTCAAATCTGGTTAAATTGTTCCAAACAAATTCATTATATTTACCATCTTCTTAGCCTACGGGGCTGCTTGTTAAAGGAGAAGTCCAGTTGCAGGAGAAAAGACAAGTGAAGCTGCAGCTGTAGCTCAACAACAGTGCTCATTTCCAGGAGGACATGATCATTTGTGGCTGAAGGGAATGATCAGTTATAGAGGTTGCCTAATCCTGCTCCTTCCGCATCTCTGTTTTCATGTCAGTGGCCTCTTAAGTATAGGGTCATGTTGCTGGAGGACACACGATTTCATGCAGATTCATTAAAAATGTCCTATCTGCCCCTTTGCCCAGTGATGGCGAACCTTTTGAGCTCGGCGTGTCAGCATTTTGAAAAACCCTAACTTAACTCTGGTGCCGTGTCACATATAGAAATTTTTTTATATTTGCAACCATAGTAAAACAAAGATTTATATTTTTGATATTTATTTTATATATTTATTTTATTTTATATATTGATATTTATATATTTATTTTATATATTTATATAATGCCATTTAACAAAGAAAAATCAACCAAAAAAATGAGTTTGCATGTCACTTCTGACACGTGTGTCATAGGTTCGCCATCACTGCCTTTGCCTGTCAGGCATGAGAAAGGAAACTGTACGGAGCTACATGCTCAGATTGCTTCCTCTGTCTTTGTGTGCACTGGTGACTTTCCACATCTCTGTTTGCCTTTCTTTCTGTAAGAATCTCTCTCACAGACTCTGGGTGTGCAGGTCACTTAAGTACATGTCTCTTCCCGTGTGAGTGCTGGTCTCTCTGTCTCTTTGTGTCTATCTTGCTTCTAGATCCCTCTTTCTCTGTGTGTGCCTCCCTGAGTATCCATGTGTGAGGACGTCTTTGTGTGTGTCTGAAGCACTGTAGAGCCAGCCTCCTTAAGCCTTGACTATTTTGCTCGTAGTATGTGTGTGACTGTGTGAAGTGGAAATGTACGTGGTATATGCAAGCTTTAAGACGGAAAACATTTGACCCCCACCTTTTTGAGTCTTCATCCTTTATGTTAAACATTGGGGTGAAGAAAAAGAAGGGAGGGGGTGCGCAGAGGTTGTAGGGAAAAAATCTGTGTGTGCAAGTGCCGATCCCGTTGACCCCTTTGAAAATTGAAATAATGATAATGCGCGTCTCCTGACTGCATCAAAGTATCAGCACATCAAAAGCCAGGAGGCATGAAATGCAAATGATAAAGTGAAAGCAGATGGATTGTGCATGATCGCCTGATGCCCAATGAATTTTAAAAGGTGCCGGTTTGCAAATGGGGGGGGTACAGATGAGGGGTGGGGGGACTGAAATAAACACGTTATCCCTGCAATTTTTTTGTTCTTGATGCTCACCCCTGACAATATTTTTTCACACTTGAGTGAACACCCACTCCATCTCTCTCTCTCTCTCCCTTTTCCCCTCTCTCTTTCTCTCCCCACCCTCACCAACTCCCCCTGCCCCATCCCCCGCCCCTTACACATCTCAGGTCATGTCGCTGCAGCTCCGGTGGAAATAATAAGATATAAACCACGAGGTTGTTATTTGCATAGAAATAGCATGGAGCCCCAGGCAGCAAGGGAGAAGGACACAGGGATCATTTGTCTAAAATTTTAATGAAAACTTTTGCTGAGGCAGATATTTTTTTAAAACTTTCTTTCTCCCTGCTTTTCTCCCCATCCCCACCCCCCTCAAACCCTATCTCTGATTTGACTTAACATGGTTCAATCTGAAGAGAAAGGGTGAAAGGATTGACAGTCCACATAGCATATTCCCGTAATGCAGCAACATGTCAATTGTTTATTCCTTTAATAGATATGAAGCTGGAGACACACACATTTCCAATTTAATACAGTGCATGTATGTGTCCAGCTTTTATGGCTACATTCCATCTCAGTATACACATGGTTGTGTCCTGTCGTTAGCCAACCTGCTTTAATTAGTTTAGACCTTCCTACCTTTTGCTTCCAAAGACTATTCCTTTTTAAAGGATTTCTTTTTTGTAGCCAACAGGAGTAACCTGCATATAAAGTAAGAATATTCCCATAGTTTCCTGTTCTTTTACTTTCAGTGGTTTTACTTACACGTCTTATTCACGAGCACCAAGTTTTGCCACCGTGTCTTTTGTTCTAAAACCAGAAAGTGCTTCCCACATTTGTATTTTTATCCTTTCCCCTTGTGATCTCTGTGTTTATGTATTCTCTTTTTCTGTCTGTCTTGCTCTTCGTTGCCTGCAGTTATTTGTAAAATGTTACCAAGTTGAGGAGAGAGACAATATCTGGGTTTTCTTGAGTGCTGCAGAAGCAGTTTTGACATTTGTACTACAGGCAGTGGGCTGGTGATTAAAGGCAGTCTGGGTGACTTTATTGGAAACTTAAAATCAAGAACATCTGTCTGGCTCCTTGCTACCTTCTGGGTGGACTAGTGGTGTCAGAGCCATTTATAGGTGAAGGCTAAAACAGTAAGAGGTAAAGTGACTTGTTTCCATTGACAGAAACTAGATCAGCGTCAGAACATGAACTTCACGTCCCCAAGTTTCAATTAAAATGGGCTCAGTCCTTGTGTCCATAAGGCCTGAAACGAGAAGGTAGTCCGGTCATTTTCCTTCTTGTCCAAATGTCATGAGAGTGATGACATAAATAAGAGAAGCTTCTACGGCCTGCTATGCCATGTCACTCAAAGTAGTAGATCATCGGTTCCCAGCTCTACAAACCGTAGGCTGTGAGTGGCAGATTCCTCAAAATGCCTCGCTGAGTGGGTGAGGGCAGATTTGATGGATGTGACAAACTACCCTTCTTGGCCTGGCAGAGGCAGTGACCTATGTGCTTGGGGAACAGGTGATAGACCTGTAAGGGGCTGAGACAATTTGTAGAGTCAGGTGCCACTGGCATTATCCCTGGTTTACAAATGAGGAAAACAGGGCAAAGGTGACTAGCTTAGGATCACTAAGTAAGCTACTTTGGAGAAAATAATATAGCCAAGACTTTTTATCTC